AGAGCAGTGAAATAATGTACATCCTATCAATAGACGATATGATACAATCAATTACAATCGTTCATCGCAAATAGATAAGTTTTCAAATTCTTTTTGAAATCAACAATGTTCATCTTTGACATTCTCATCGACATTGGCAGACTATTCCAGACGATTGGTCCCGACACTGCAATGTCTCTAGACGATGTCTGCAGCTGCGTAGTTGGTACAATCAACAAATTGACGTCATCTGATCGCATGCGTCTGCCAGTCGAAGACAGCGGCTATCAGCCAGGTATTCTGAATCTATCAGCCAGGTATTCTGGGAGTTGTCCGTTTATGGCCTTGTACATAATGACGCATATTTTGTAAAAAATTCGTTTCTTCACTGTTAGCCAATGGAGGCTATTCAGAATTGGCGTCACATGATCGTATTTTCTGCCTCTAAATATCACCTTTGCAGCTCTGTTCTGAATATATATATATATATATATTATGCGGAATTAAAGAGAATCACAAGTCTTTTGGTAAATAATGGATACTGCACATCACTGATCGAGGAAATAAATAAATATAAATTACAACAACTTAACGTTCCACAAAATAGGAATCTTATAAAAACTAACTACAAAACGGACAAATACGTCTTAAAACAAATCATTTATAAAAAGTCAAACCTAGCAACCCTTGCAACAAAATAAAACAACGAGTTTATTATAGGATTGCAAAGACATCACACACACTTTGTCGTGAACAACTGAAACATAAATTTATGTCATCTTGACAGCTGTGCACATCAGAATGTTTCCCATATCGGAATAATTACAACATCGCTAACCAGACGACTGACTATGCATAAAATGGAAATCTTGGCCCCCCTGTCAAATTTGTTTAGATTCGCCACCCATTCTAAAATTCATCATCATCAATCGGTCATCAATCATATATTTTTCAAAATCTTTGCTCCCCATCAAATTTTTCTAAATTTTCCACTCATTCTAACTGCATTAATTTTTTCAGATTTAAATTTTTAGAACACTGTGCACGGCTAAACATGAAAAAATGTTGAGAGATAAATTAGTGTCGGATCGCAAATCCTAACGATTAAAAACTCGCAAAACCTTAACTACTAAAACAAACAATCTTCAAAATAAACTAAAAAGTGGTTGTGGGGGCTATATAAGGAGAAGCTGCTGATGACCCCATGTGGGGCGAAATACGTGTCTAGCGTATCCAAACGAAATGCTACTTTTTTTCCACTTATCTTTCTTATCTTTGATTCTAGTATGTTTCTTTCTTCTTAGATTGATAGTGTTGCTAGAAGTTCTTACTTTCATCTACGTGGAATAAAAAAACTTTTGCCTTTTTTTGATGATCCTACTCTTCTCCTTCTTGTTATTTCGTTTGTCTTATCTAGGATTGATTATTATAACTCGGTCTACTATGGTCTTCCTGATTTTATACTCTATCCTTTAAGTAAAGCTTTTAACTATGCTGCTCGTCTAGTTGCTCGTGCTCCTTTTTTTTCTCATATGTCTCCATATATTCTCTTGTAAGACGAATGTAGTGTGTTGTTCGTGTTCTCTTGCTCAGGCTGCCTATAAAATATAGAATAATTTATAGATATTGCACATTTATGTATAAGTCTCAATCTAAATTATTTCATAAGTACTTATCAGATATATTAATTGAACCTGAACGCTCCGGTTTACGATCGTCTTCTTGTTTTCGCTGCTTCTTAACTCGTGTTAAACACTTTTTAGCTAAATCTGCTTTTGCTTTTTCTGGCCCTTTTTTCTGAAACGCTCTACCTATTTCTCTGACAACTTCTCCCTCACTTACTAAGTTCAAAGCTGATCTAAAGACCCATATGTTTGAAAAATCCATTAAGGAGCGCTGTTGAGCATCGCGAAAACAGCGCTTTACAAGATAATTGATTGATTGATTCACTTCTGCGCAGAGCACTGCTTTTTCTGGTTTGGCGTTCTCATACATTAGAACAACCGCAACAAGAGAAAGAATTTTTGCTTTGATATGTTGTGCATGCACCAATTCCAAAAACAATAATTTTTTTGATTTAAACTTCTGGCATGCCGTGCGCGGCAAAAATTGAAAAACCGTTCGACAAGATTATCAATCAATAATAAACTCTTGAGTTATATTACAAGACTTTTAGGTTACTATGTTATATTATTGTACGTATGTAAATCATGGATATAATGGATATGGCATAAAAATTAATTTATTGCAAAATTGTTTTTTGTTCTATGGATCAAGCATCGTCGTCTCTTCAGTGTCTCTGATTAATCGTCTGATCTGAAATTATCGCTTGCGAAGTTTTTGTCTCGTTTGCTATTTTAAATTAGATTTCGTATTGCATTTTATATATTTTATACTATATTTAACACATTTAAAAAATGGATTAGTATAATTTTCTGCATTTATACATTTCGTTTTATACATTTTACATTCCCACATATATACATACATGCATATACAAGTATACACAATAAGTAGTTAAGTACACATGACATGGCATTGAGATTAAACTATTAGAGAATCTTAATTCTTAACTTGTCAAAATAATATTAAAAACAATAATGCATTTTAATTAGAAAGTATCAATCAGAATATCCATTGCAGAGAAAAGTAAGGGATAACAGTGCAACTTGTAATTTTAGTAATTAGTATTAAAAAGCCCAACGCAACTGAAACGTTAGCAATCAAACATTACCAACTTATGTTGCTAGTTTTTTAAGCGAAATTCTAATTTGGTAACAACTCAACTACGGAAGCTATCACGATAATCGAAAACTAGACGATATTCTAAACATAGATAAAAAGCTAAATGTTTTTTCATGGATATAATGGACATGGCATAAAAATTAATTTATTACAAAATTTGTTTTTTATTCTATGGATCAAGCATCGTCGTTATCTTCGTCAGCGTCATTGATTAATCGTCTAATCTGAAATTATCGCTTGCGAAGCTTTTGTCTCGTTTCTTTTTTAAATTCGATTTCGTATTGCATTTTATATATTATATACTATATTTAGTACATTTAAAAAAGAAAAGGGATTAGTATAATTTTCTGCATTTATACATTTCGTTTTATACATTTTACATTCCTACATACATACATACATACATACATACATACATACATACATATACATATAGCTATAAAGTATAACACTATACAATATAATTATAATAATCAGCAAACAATTATATATAATAATATAATATAATAGTAATAAATAATATTAGTTACATAATTAATGCATTAAATGGTAATGTTAACTCAAAGTTGTATGAATAATTTGTGCTGATATTAATTAAGTTAAATTTAAATTCAGACTGTTAAAGAATGATATTAAAAGAATGCACTAGGAAAACCTCATTAAAAAATACTTAGACAATAAGGATAAAAAAAGACTTTAATTTGTAGCAAACATTTTACACCAGAAAGTTTTCATAAAGTTGGTTCAAAAACTTTTCTTCAAAAAGATGTTTTTCCAACGACATTTGACAAGGTTAGTGTTACATATATAAAAACCAATCATTTCAATTTTCAGTTGTATAATTTAAATGTTTGTAAAGTTATAACTTTGAAATTAAGATATTGTTGTCATGATAATTTTTCTGATGTGTTCTTTATTTATGTTATGATTTATTATATACCAAAAATAAACTTATTTCAATTTTTAAAGTATGTAAACAATAACCTGCTTTTATCATAATTTAAACATTTTGTATTTTTAGCCTTCTTCAGATGTAAAGTTAGTTTCCGATAATATTTCTGCAACGTTAATAACTGATGTGATGTCAAGTGTAAATTTGGTTTGTATTTTTGTATCTATATATTATCAAGATTGTGTTACATTTTAAACCACCAAGTATAACAAATTTCAGTTTTTACTAAATATTTTAAAAAGTTTGCTTTGCGTTAAGTTTTGTTATATTTATATTAAAACATAAGAAGCATGTTTATATTTTATGAATAACATAATTAAACATTTGTCTTGTCGTTCTGACCGGAGTTATCACCTTAAAGATATTAATTAGATGCCTTGCAAATAATAACATATATTTAAAAACGTCCAGTGTTAATAAAACTTTAATAATTTTACATTTCAGTTACCCTCAACATCCTCGCGGGCAGTTGAAAAACCATCAACATCTGCTGTTAAATTGGTTTGTATGTTTGACAGATTATAACATAATATACGTAACAAATAAAATTTATTAAACTTTTTGCAACTCTCAAATACAAATAGTTATCTAAAGTAATTTTTATATGGCATGCATTCATTAATGTTTCTATTTCAAAAAGCTGAATTGTTACTTAAAAAATTACTTTATGAAATTTTTGGAATATATACTTGAAATCTTGAAATGTAACAGACTGGTATTGATGCTTTGACGCCGTGAAGTATGAAAAGGAAAACTAATAAATTAAGTACGACATTGACTAAAACAAGGAAAGTGTTATACAACTGCAATAGAAGAATAAAGAGATATAAATTAAATGTTCAGGCATTTAAAAAAAATTAAAAAACTTAAAGAAATCTATGATGAACTGAATTCAAGATTGGTTGTAAATTCCTGTAAGAAAATTTTATAAATTAGAATATATTAATATTTTTTCACTATACATTTTTTGTTGAAATTGTATCATTGCTTCCAACCCAAAAATTTATTCTAACGTACAAATTCTGTCAGGATCATCTGGAGTTGTTCTTCAACTTTATCAGAAGTGCAGGTTTGAAAATATATAAAGTAATTTTTAAAACACTTTAACTTCGTATATTATAATTTGACTTAGGAAAGTGCAATGACAATCCCAATGTACAACAGTTGGAAACCATCTTTAAACGAGTTTATTTCAGATGTGGGATTGTCCCTGGGAAAACAGGTTATTCAAAAATTTAAATTTACATACCTTTTAAAAGATATTTTATGTTTATCATTATCTAATTTTTCAGGCAATGTACAGGAACAATTAATGGAAGATTAAAATTAAAATTAAAAATACCCGAAGAACAATTTCAACATATTTTTGAAGAAACTGATTTAGAACTGGAGTTTCTAAATCAAAACATAATGTCAACCATTATCGATAATGCAGTGGCATATATGGGTGGTTCGAAAAGTAACCCAGATGATAGATTGTAATCAATGCAGGCTAGCACTTGTTGAAACAAAAGGTAGAGTCGCCATGTTTTCCTTCCCGTGGTGTCGTCAAGGTTATTAAAATAATTGATTTATAAAAAATTGTGCTTTACGCTTTTTCTATATCATCATCATAAAACAGTATACAAGAAAACATATATTACAATTGAATAACAAACTATAGGAACATTGCATTAACAATCATTAACAACATTGCCAATAACAAACAGCTACCAATAAACTATTCCCATTGAATTATATATAAGAATGGCTTTATAGTGTTGACCTTCATCTCAAGGTCAGGAAACTTGGAAGCAAACTTTTTTAACACCAAATTGTCAATGGGTTATTCAGTTTTCCAATCTATATTTAGCTTCTTCCCTGTTAATGTGCCACCGGCGGCCTTCTCGTAAACGTTTTTTTGCTGCTAAAATCATTCTACGGCAGTTTTAATCAATTTTTATCTTAATAATAAATAATTTAACTGATTTATTTAAAATTTTTAGAAGCATTTATTATTTGATCCATTTTGATTTTATAAAGTTCATTTGTTTAAAAGTTTTAAAAATGTTACATTGTGCTAGGAGACACTAGGCCCAGACTAGTAGAAGAAAAGAGGCTTTGCTTTTTTGTACTTTTATTTAAAATTTTTGACTTTTTATTTTTTTAACTATCGTTAATTAATGTTCAAATATTTTTTATATTGTTTTTATATTATGGGTTTATTATTATTATTAAGATTGCCTTTGTTAAAACTTAAAATGGCTTTTTATCATAAGAAATACAGAATACAAAGAGTTTCTTTATTTTAATTTATTGGGTATATATATATATATATATATTATATATATATAAATAATATATATATATATATGTGTGTGTGTGTATGATGAACAATTTTAAATGCAGCTATTTACTTTCAAATATAAATCATATTTAGATGTTTTGCTCAATGGATGCACATCTCATCAAGCAACAGCAAAGGCAATCAAAGTATTACAAGTCCAGAATCACAATGCTGCAGGCAACAATAAGAAAACTTATGAATGAATGTAATAAATTGAAAAATGAATTAGCTACATACAAAGGTTTTATGTTATGTAACCATAGCAAAATGAATTGGAATTTTGATTAATTTTTTGTTTTTTTTTGGTTCTAGATAAAAAACTCATACCATTTAAAAAGAGTTAACAAAGTATATAATGATAGTTACAAGACCTTTTATATGCAGCTGCATTTTCATGGTCCTCGTGCATACCAATTTTAAAGAAAAAGTGGACTAACACTGCCACACTCAAGAACATTAAACAAGTAAAATTTTGTTAATAGTGATATTCTGTAAACTAGTATTGTTATATAAAGAAATATGTTCTGCAAATGAAACATTGCAAATGCTCTTTAATCTTTTATTCGATATCAATAAATGAATAAAGCCTCAAATAACGTATAATAGGAAAATTGGTAGGTTTTTTAAAATTTATTTTAATTGTAAAATTGTGAGTTTAAGATATAGCATATTTTGGTAGCATATGCTAGTTTATTCCTTGTGTATTTTATTTATTTCTTGATTTTTTTGTTTCCCATTTCACTATAAGCATTTGTCTTCAATTTTTTAAATTTTATTGATGTTAAATGTTAAGCATAAATTATCATCGCATTGTTTATTTGTGAAGATGACTTTATTGGATATGTTAACTATGGAGATGGGAAT